AAGAGAAGAGAAGAGAAGAGAAGAGAAGAGAAGAGAAGAGAAGAGAAGAGAAGAGAAGAGAAGAGAAGAGAAGAGAAGAGAAGAGAAGAGAAGAGAGGAAGGAGTCTGCAGCATCTCTTGATCATCTTGCTGAAGTTCTGGAAGGATTTACTTCAGCGGGGAAATGGCTTATTGACAACATGATTCGTCAGTTCAGTATGTTTTCGAGGCAAATATACATTCCCCTTATGATTTTCAAGTGTTCGTGTATGTGTGCTTATACCTTAACGATGATTTGGTTGCTGCAGCGTTGCGCAGCCCGTTCGCCAGCACGATGACCCAGAGGTGCCTTCCCAAACTTGTTTCGCACCTCGGTTTAAATGCCCCCCCCCGTCAGTACTCGGCTTGCGACTCAGGGGCAGTCACCTTCTCCGTGCTCCTCCAGCCCCCCCCCGGACACCCCTCCGCGAAAGGCGGAGGGCCGGGGGTGCCCGGCCGGGGGGTGCCGGACCCCGCTCGCGTGTGCGGAGTCGGGGGGGTCCCGCACCCCGGCGCGGCAGCGCTGCCTTTCCCAGCCCTGCCCAGCTCGCCGTTCCCCTCCCGGGAAAGGGCTGGCAGCTGGATCTCCAGGGAAAGAAAAAAAAAAGTTATCGCCCCTTTTTTACCCATACAGGCACCTGGCCGCCCTTTCCCTGCCCCGGCCGTGCCGGGCACCGGCTGCCGGGCCCCCGCGGCGTGCGAATTCCCGCCGGCTGCCACCCCGGCGTGAGGCGGGGAGCCCGCACAGGCCGGCGCCGTTTGGGCGATCGCTGTCGGGCTTCTCGCCGCCTCCGAGGCAGGGCGGCTCCTGAGCCACACAAGGAGATGAGAAAAGTCGTGGCAAAACCCAGAGCCATCAAATACGGCGCCTTTTCTCAGCTTCCAGTCCCAGACAAAGGCGAATCAGGCAGCTTGTAATTCATTTTTTATTTTATTTGGAAATCTCATCCAGAAACACTGGTCAATAATAAATATATCGATAGTTATCAAGAATATATAAAAAATAAAGACACGGTGTTGTCTTTGAGGCCCTAACCAAAAACAAACAAACAAACAAACGAAATGAATAAAACCGGTTTTCAAGCAAACGCCCAGGAAAACGTACCGAAAAGGAAATAAACAGCAACCAAGATTCCGATTTAGTTACACAAGTCACTGGGCTGGCGAGAGCCGACCCCGCATGCAAAACCAAACCAAACCAAACTAAAAAAGGCAGCAAACCCGAACAAACCCAAAGCCAACAAGAGAAATAAGCGACGAGGACCCCAGCCAGCTGAACTAGCACACTTCACCGAGAGCAGGAGATGGGAGATGTGGCAAAACAGACCCGCGGGAGGGCTGTGCCGTGTTTTGCACTATTTCCCCCCTTTTTTTTTCTTTTTTTCTTTCTTTCTTTTTTTTTTTTTTTTTTTTTTTTTAAGCGGACACAGAGGGAAGAAGAAGAAGAACGGCAAACAAAACCGCATCGCAACAAAATCTGAAAAAGAAAACAACCCAAACCACCCACAAAACTTTAGTGAATTCGCTCGGACGTCCCAGTTGCCGGGGAAGCCGCCCGTGGCCGGTCCCCACGGGTGGGCAGCGGCGCGGGGAGCGGGCAGGCACCCTGCGGG